ATGTCAATTAGCCTATCAGAAGCTGCTAAAGCCATGACATCATTTTCTGGAATTGTCCAAGCTGTTTAAAGGCACTGTCAACTTAGTGTATGTAAACTTCTGACCCACTGGAATTGTGATACAGTAGTGTGAAATAATCTGTCTGTAAACAATTGTTGGAAAAATTACTTGTGTCATGCACAAAGTAGATGTCCTAACCGACTTGCCGAAACTATAGTTTGTTAACAAGAAATGTGTGGAGTGGTTGAAAAACGAGTTTTAATGACTCCAACCTAAGTGTATGTAAACTTCCGACTGTCACTTCAAGTACTTCCTGTTCTCAACATCTGACCAATCAGAACAGATAAAAGCTAGGTAGATAGGTAGATCATCAATTACCATGAAAATGTAAATCCACTGCTTCACCATATTTTGGAACTACACAACATTGACAAATAATAATATCTCTCACAACATAATTATACACTAGTGTTATGTGGTGAAAAATGTTCCAAACAAAATGTTTCTCACAAGGTCTTTCATATCTAGTCTGCTGTGAGTCATATTGGCTAAGATAGGTCGAGTCCTGTGAGCCATAAAAAGCCTATTGCAAAGACTACAGAGACTATTGTAGAGAGTAATGTCAGCAGTTTCAAATCCAGAACATTCTAAACCTATTAAACGTGGAATGCAGGTTCTAGTACAGAGAGACTCTCAAAAGAAGATGGGCCAAATACTCAACGTTAAGTGTGCCATTGCAGTTTTACTTATTTATGGATGTATCATTATTAGCAACTGAATGTGGAGCTATTGCCCATTGTTTTGGAAGTGTACTTAGCAGTACTTTGGCTGTAATTGCTCTCTAAGGATACAAAAAAAAAATGGATAGAACATTTATATCTGGCCAATAGCTCTAGTGATTTTCACCCTGCACTTTCCACTTTCCAATAAGAGAGCAATACCTCACATACAGTATCTAAAGTCATAGACTGTTCTCTCAGCTACTGCACGGCAAGCGGTACCGACGCACCAAATCTGGAACCAACAGGACCCTGAACAACTTCTACCTCCAAGACTACTAAATAGTTAACCAAATAGCTACCTGGACTATCTGCATTGACCCTTTTTGCACTAACTCTTTTGACTCTACTCTTAGTTATCTGTCCTGTTGCCTATTCACTTTATCCCTACCTATATGTACATATTTACTTCAATTACCTCATACCCCTGGACATTGACTCGGTACTGGTACCCCGTGTATAGCCAAGTTATCGTTACTCATTGTGTATTTATTCCTTGTGTTATTATTTTTCTATATTTCTCTCTCTGCATTGTTCGGAGGGGCCGGTAAGTAAGCATCTCACTGTTAGTCTACACCTGTTGTTTACGAAGCATGTGACAAATACAATTGTATTTTATAACCAGTTTGAGACACTGGAGAGGAAAAATGTTGGACTACTATGGTCAGAAACCCATACATTTAGCTTACCCTCATTGTTACACGTCATCATTGTCATAATGATGAAATATGCACTTTCAATTGTTTTCAGTGAGACCAGCTTTCACCAGACATTCTTTCCTGTTTTCTTTGCACTGATGGATAGCTAAAGGTTGGCGCTAGTCATTGGGAGCTATAGGCTACTACATTTTACTCTGCAGCAAATGCATACTATAGTGCACCATACTGAAACAACCAAAGCTCTTCTCAAATACCTTCAGACAGATTAATGTTTGAAAGATATTTCCATTCTCCTTTCTGCCATAACGTATTAGGTGATAGTGCAGAATGGAATGGCACATCTATATCTTGATACAATCATATACAATCTAATGTCTGGAATTCATAAAGATAAAGAGTTGGCCAAGTCTCGGCCAAAGTTATTGTTAGAGAATTCCCCTAGTTAAGATGCATTTTCCATCTATACCATTTAACCAGAACGCTACTCTTTGAAATTCCCAGCTGCATCTGGGAGTTAAATCTGCTTGGTCATAAAGCAGTCAGTCCTACAGCTTCCATACCAACATTGAGATAGATTTGACTTTCAATTATTCTGGCATCCGGTTAATGGTAAAAGCTTATGTGTTTTGTTTCTTATTAGAAGAAATGTTGAAACAAGATGATAAAATTTGGGTTTTTGGCAAACTCAATGCTATAGTGTGTCCTATACATTTAAAGGTAAAACGGGTTTGATAACATCATAAAACATCATAAAAGGAGAATGTAATAATGAAGGGAAATCTACTATCCAATACAAATCCAACCAAAAATGCTAGCTGGAACTAAAGCATAGTTCTATCTGAGACAGTGTAGCTCCCAGTATAGCGAGATGACTGGGGGGGTGTAGAGGCAGTCTGTGTCTACTGAAACGTGCTCAGTGTCAAGGCAGTCTCTTGTTGTGTCCCAAATGCCACCCTGTTCCCTTTATAGTGCATTGCTTTTGACCAGGGATTTTATTTGGATCCCCATTAACTGTTGCGAAAGCAGCAGCCACTCTTCCTGGGGTCCACACAAAACATAAAACATGACATAATACATAACAATAACAGACAAGAACAGCTCAAGGACAGAACTACAAATAAATAAATATAGAAATATATAAGCCTCTGGTCAAAAGTACTGCAATACAGAGAAAAGGATGCCATTTAGGACACAGTTTCTGTGTCTACTGAAATGTTTTTACTCAGAGGAACACTAAATGGATTCATGCATCACCCCATGCTACAATGACATGTTGGAATGTCCAAGCCATGTTATTTGCTGTCCCAGTGGGAATAAAGCAATGTCCCATTTCACATCAGCAGCTTAAAGAGAGGCACTTTATATGGTCATCAACATTCGTGGGCTACAAAGGGAATCCATAGATAAATAAATTGTCCACATCTTGAAATGTTAAGCTCACTGATTCTTGCTTCTCAGGAGATGAACAGATGCTGGTGAACCAAGGCACAAAATGTGGAATAAAAACATTACCAAGCTACACAACTCTGCCCTCCCTGCTTTTTTAGAGACAGTTCACTGTCATTTGGAGTGATAAGTCATGCATTTGTTTTTGAAACTACATCAAAGTCAACAAATCAACAATAAAAGTCAACTTACTTTTTTAAAAAAGATTGCCTCTTTCGTCCAGTCTTCAGGTACCTTCCTTTCTTCCTCCTGTCCCCAACTGGCCTTGTCTATCCTCAGTGTGTGGATGGGTATCCAGTCCAGGCTCTAGTGTGGTTAGGCATTGTCAACTGTTACTCCCAAGGCTGCCTGAGCTGAGGGGGGAGGAGGCCTAAACAAATGTGCCTGTGTTCAGCCAATGTTTATATGCAGCCAACACCACCACACCACAGCCAGGCTCCTAGCCAAGGCCCTACCTCCCCTTCCACAAATGGCAAATGGCACACACAAAAAAACAGACAAGTTCCCGCCACAAATACACACCCACTCCTTGTGCTTTATCATCTCCTCAGAGCGCTAGGCCAACACAAAGGAGGGGCCCCCAGAAAGACTACGTTATGCCCCTGTGAATGTGCATGGAGTACGCTAGGGTGGGTACAGATGAAGGGTAGGGCAGGGTGGAGAGAGGGGTGTGTGTGCCCTGCGACTGAGCCTCAGTGCCCTGCGCCATTGTGCCATGTTTGCCCTGTGAGACTGGCAGCTGGGGCCCTAGGACGGGGAGGGAGCTCTGATGATGAGGGCCCATTTGGCTGGCATTGACATGTAAAGAGACTGTGTGTCAGTGACAGCTGAGGAGAGCAGGCACTGTAATTAGCTGTGTGTGTACAGAGAGGATGTAGGATGGACCATTACGCCCCCTCTCCCCTCCCTTTGACATCCAGCATCACTGATCATATTCTGAAAAACAGACAAACTGGGTATAGCAGACCTGGATTCAACTAGTGTTTATTTTCTTCCAAATACTTTGAACGTTTGATTGAGCCTATCTGAAATGCAAGATAATAATCTAATAATATAAAGTGTATGCCATTTAGCAGACGCTTTTATCCAAAGTGACTTATAGTAATGCGTGCATAGATTTTACGTATAGGGTGCTGGTTTGCACTAGTCCTTTGCTTCCATCGCACTGTGTTCGATCAAGGACAAGGGAAATACTCAATCAAGTATTTGAAAGAAAATGAATCCTATTTGAACCCAGGTTATATAGCTTACCCAGCCAGATATTCTAAATTATTGACTGAGAGCAGGGAGGACTTAAAACCATCGACCTCTGCGAAAGTCTGTGTGGGATTTCACACATAAATCTAAGGGTGTGAGAGCCAGGTGGTTGGGGCCTGGGTTGGCCCCTACAGAGCCTGCAGGGCCTGGGGGATATGTTTGGAGGAGGAACTGACAGAACCATCCATGTGAGACACAGGTGTGATCAACCAACTGTGAATAACTCACCCCACCTCATTACATGCAGTAAATCACAGCAGAACACTATTTGTTGTAACTCAATATTGCATAGTGTTGAATTAATCCTCATGTACTGTAATGATAGCCTTGATTTGTTGATGCTGTAAGAGAGTTGGTTAAGAACCTGGTTAAATGAGTAACCTTGCCTGAGACTTGACAACTTGCGTTAGTTCCTCAAGCTAATGCCTTAGCTCAGCGGGCTAACACAGTCGTGTCACCCAGCAAGAGCCGGGTTTGAGCCCCAGTCAGTCACACGGTCAACTTGTACTGCTATAATTGGATAAGTAGATGTATTTGTGTCAGCAGCATGCAGACTCCGTGATATCTCAACCATGAACTATCTGGACCGAGACCTCACACTCTGCTCTCTTTTGCTAACTTTCTCCTCCTGAGTCCAAGACTCTCTATCACAACAGGACAGTGTTGTGTAGGGACTAGTTGGCCTATGTGCAGTTACCAAGGTGATTAAGCTGCTCTTTCAAGCCCAGGACTGAAGAAGCACCTCTTCACTTTGTGACAGAGGATCAAGGTCTCAACCTCCACAAGGCTCACACTGTCTCACATCAAAACACTGATGACAGTTCAGCTGGAAGTGAAGGGAGGTGAGGGGGAGCCTAACCTGCGGGAAGCCCCGACACAGGACCTCTCCTGGGGCCCCATGTCCCACGGGAAACTGGGGCGGACAGGGTGCCTCAACCTGGGCCTCTGCCATCTCCGTGGCCCCCTGCCTTCCGTTGTGCCCTTTGATGTCCTGAGATGTGTGGGATCCGGGGCAGCCTGTCTGTGGAGCTGTCAACCTGAAGAGAGGCCTCCTCCTTGTCGGGTTACCCAGGAAAGAGTGAACCGTGGCTGGACACAGTCGTGGCTACAGTGTGGAGGGATGGATGGAAGCATCAAGGTCCCTCTGATCTGATGGGACATTCAAAGGCCTAGCTGATTGTGCGCTATCCCACTAAGCCTCTGTTCTTCTCACTGTGATATAGCCAGAAGAGATGGAGAGACAAGGGCCACAATTGTTCTTTAATCCTGGGTCTGATATGGTTGTGTCACAGAAGACTCCAGGGAATGGGTTTGTGGAATATCTGTAATACATTTACATCTGTGTTCTCTAGGATAAGTAGGCCTCCATCTTTGAAGTGAAGGCAAGAACTTTAGATACAATGTAATTGTTATGTAAAGCTGATTAAACAGTTAAACGTAAGCAATCCTTCTTTCATCAGGGGAACATCTCATTAAAATATATTAAATATGTTATTTCATTTTCTTGCATGGACAACAGGACAATATTAGACAATCAAATCAAATAAACGTATTTGTTATTGCTCTCTCATCTTAACAATGTCAAGTCTATTGTTCTCGGTTACCCTCTGAAAGGCTTTCAATGTTAAAAGTAAGCGTGCCAAAATGAAGTGAAACAAAAGAAACACAAAAATTTATTTTTCAATCAAAAGTATTGTTTTGAGAATATTTGTTCAACAAATTGTAAAAATTCAAAATTAATAGAAAACATTTTTTAATCAGCAACAATTACTAAGCATTTGTCAAGTGCTTTAGTTGATAAGCTTATACACAATCAAAACACAAAACATATGAATATGCGACAAAGCACGTTAAGTAGAGTGGTTCATCAGACTTAGTATCAAATGATAAGGAATATTTAGTGGTTACAGTTACATTTTTATGTAGTTACAGTATTATTAATGAACATTTATGCAGCACTGCTGCCCTCTGATGGTATGATGGTGCTATTGGAAGTGACTCTGGGGTGAAGTTTCCCTATAGGTACAGATCTACGATCAGCTTCCCCTCCCCCAATCCCAACTTTAACTATAAGTGGGGGACTGGAAAACTGACCCAAGATCAGCATCTAGGGGCGACTTCACTCTACACCATTGGAGGAGCTGCAGGTTCCGTGGCTTCAGGTTACAGAGTGATCACATGTGTTCAGGGTGGTTCTGCAGACATGTGATAAACTCCTGCACAGCTTTGCCCTCAAAGCAGATCTGATACACAGAGGCAAACAACGGAAACCTACAAGACAAAAAAATTGCACTAAATCTCAATGCAGCAAGACGTGGTTCCATTAGCAGCAATCACCATTTGTTGAGGAGAGCTTCAGTTAATATTTGAAGCTAATTTGCTTAAATTAATGTAGTGAATGAGTAAACGAACATTGGAGGAACATTTGCAAGTCATTAAATGCATTAAAAGGTAGGCTCAGCGATACACGAAGTAAACAGAAATATCGGGGCAATTTCTGCAAGAGCGTTGAAGCATGAGGCTAAACTTCTTCACTCTTTTGATCCCATAGCCATCATTACATTTACATTTTAGTCATTTAGCAGACGCTCTTATCCAGAGCAACTTGCAGTTAGTGAGTGCATACATTTTCATACTGGCCCCCCGTGGGAAACGAACCCACAACCGTGGCGTTGCAAGCGCCATGCTCTACCAACTGAGCTACAGGGGACTACATCATGTTGTAGCAGCGTGAAGCGGGCCCGTGCACATGCGCAGATCCTCTGTGTGACTGTGTGAGAGCAAGAAAAGTAATATCGCAGAGTCTCACTTTAAGGTGAAAGAGTTGTACTCACTTGCTAATCATGTCTCTCTTCTTTAGAATTTTGAACACCTCAGCGGAGGTTTGTGGGCCTTGCAGCTTCTGGCCATTGAGCATCTCAGCCTCTAGCTCTTCAATAGACTGGAAAGGTATGCAACATAGTTACTTACTTTACTTAAAGCATGTATACGCACACACACAAACATACCATTAGTTTTTTTAAGTGTTGGATATTAATATCTTAACTGTTATCAATCTGACAAAACAGGTGAAAGTTGTACTGGTCACAGCACAGTCACATCTCTGAGTCGTAGTTGTCTAGATATCTCACCTTGGATGTCTTGGCGAAGGCCTCAGCCACCTTGCGGTTGCGTCCCCCGTAGCAGGTGGTGATCAGGTCGGCGACCCCACAGCTCTCCAGGAATGTCACGGAGGACACCTGGCCCTTACAGAACAGCTTGGTGAAGGCAATCATCTCCATCAGCCCCAGCCGGATCACCGCAGCCTTGGTGTTGTCCCCAAAGCCCAGACCGTCACAGAACCCAGCGCCCACCGCTACAATGTTCTGGGAAGGAGAGAGTGGGAAAGGAACCATGAGTCTTATGTACAGTCTTCTACTCTTTTTTTTTTTTTTTAGCAATATGATTCATGGTTTATAAAAATATTTATTTACAATGTGAGCAAATAAAACAGTGGAACGAAACATAGGCCTTCTGTGTAAGTTACGTTCACGTTGTAGCTATATGTAGCAAAAGTTGTTCTCTTTGAACTGAATTGTAAATTGTACCTTGAGAGCCCCACAGAGTTCTACTGTGTCACTCTCCTGCACCACGGTGATCCTGAAGTTGGGAGTCTGCAGCAGCTCTTTAAAGATGTGTCCGTTTGCTTCGTTCTTTGCTCCTGTTCAGGTAGTGATAGAAAGTTAAGATAAACATAACTGCATCAGTGGGAGTTGCAACCCAAGTGAGGACAGAAAACATTACAGCAATATTCTAGATATTATATAAAAAATGTCTTACCAATTGTGGTCTCACAGAACTTCTCATCAGCCACTTCGTTGGCAATGTTGGCCCCCATCAGGACGCTAACCTCGATTTCCAGTTTCTCGCGGATGATGTCAGAGATGAGCTTCAAGCCCTCTGGGCCTTCATCGATGCCCTGAATAAGGACCAGGGCAGAAAAGAGATCTTAGGCTGCCTTCAATCACTCATTTTGTAACATATAACCCTAGTTACCAGCATTTGGGTGGCTAAATTTTTTTGACTAGGCTACTGTTACATAATGAGTGTAAAATCATAGCCATGATGATAAGTTCATACAGCTGAGACTTTCCCTGAGTGATAAGAAGCCCGGTATGAAGCCAGAGCAAAGTCCGACATAAATTGTATAGATTTTAGCAATGATTTTTCAAAGAGAGAGCTGGTGTGAAAAATAGGTAAATGACATTACTTTGATGAGGGATATTCCAATGGTTCCCTGTGTAATATGAGGTTTCATCTGATCACAGAGCCTCCCAATGAACTGATGTGGAATGACAAAGATCAGTATGCTGGCCCCTTTCACCGCTTCTGTGATTTCTGGAACAGCAACCTGGTAAATTGGAGCGGAAAAAGATAGCATGATACATTGTACTATTCATGATGGATGTTACTGTGTAGTAGCATTTATCATTAATCTACATTACAAGCAGTGGAGGCTGCTGAAGGGAGGACTGCTCATAATAATGGCTGAGCAGATAGGGCGGCGCACAATTGGCCCAGCGTCATCCGGGATTGGGGAGGGTTTGGCCGGGGGGGGGGGGCTTTACTTGGCTGATCGCGCTCTAGCGACTCCTTGTGCCGGGCCGGGCGCCTGCAGGCTGACCTCTGTCATCAGTTGAACAGTGTTTCCTCCGACACATTGGTGCGGCTGGCTTCCGGGTTAAGCGGGCGGGTGTTAAGAAGCGCGGTTTGACGGGTCATGTTTCGGAGGACGCATGACTTGACCTTCGCCTCCCGAGCCCGTTGGGGAGTTGCAGCAATGAGACAAGATAGAAATTGGGGATAAAAAGGGGGTAAAAAATATATATAAACTACATGATATATTGTCAAAAATAATATCCTGATATGTAACTGTACAGATTTCTTACCCCAGCACTATTTTATAAGGTTAGTGTTCCCACATGGCCATATCTCCATATTACAGCGCTTTATTAAGGAAGACTGATGGAAGGCAGAGAAGACCACCTGTGCTAATTAGCTATCTAGCATGCTTGAACACCTGTGTGTAATTAGCTATCTAGCCTGCTCGAACACCTGTGTCTAAGCATAACTGGGAAGGAAGTGTAGTTTGTCATCTGGAGGCACACAGCCATATGGATCTGTGCAAACATGATACAGTAAGTGTATCTTTTTTTATTTGAAAGATTATTTCTTGGTGATATGAAAGATAATTCCATGTTTCAAAAACCTAATTGCAAGCGATGATTATTGACGTTTCTGAATGTTAAAACAAAGCGATGGGATTGTAGTTCACATGGGCCCACCGGTAAACGGTACTTATAGCTGAGAACCCTTGGGATAAGGCAGAATGCCTTGTTAATGCTTTGGGTTCTTGAGAACAAACCAGACACGTTGTTAGCTCTGTATAGGTCAAACTTCACTCAACTTATCTGTGTGTATCCTTTTACAATCATAAAAACATGTCCGGAGATAGCTCCAGAATTATTGCACAACTCAATGATTTTTAATTTTGAGGCAAGAATCCCATACTAAACAAAACACAATACTAACCACATTTTTGGGAAGCTTGTGACCCGGTAGGTATTTGACGTTCTCATGCTCTGTGTTGATGATTTCTGTTAACTTTTTGCCATCGATCATCTCTTCAAACACCCACATGTTGACAATGGGGTCAAACCTGTTGGATCCCTTTGCATTATGGCCGACGATTTTGGCTATCGCAGAGCCCCTAGGAAATTATGAAAACAGCGATTTAGATAGGAGGGCAATCCATAACGCCATTCATATTTTCAAAATCACACTCGCAAAATGAACAATATGCTAATTATGGGGATACCATAACCAGCCTACATTCAATGAATGTAGATCAAACTTCTATATTTGATATTCTATGAAACTACATGCAAGTTGTCAATTTAGCCAAATAGCAACACTTTGTAGTTGGCTACATGAATCAATCAGTGGAATTCATGATGATACAATGTTGTCGAATGCAGGCACATGCAAATAGAGAAAGCCCATAAATATACCAGTTTCCAGATCCAACGATGCACACTTTCTTAGCAGGCATTGTTAAGGTAGAGTAGCAGGCACGATTCCTTTAAGTGTTAACAGATCAGTAAAATGCCGTGTTTATATCCATGTCCATAACTTCCTTATACGCCCTAGTCGTGTGGGCAGCACATTGTTTTTAGCACGCCACCCTTTTTACCTGTATATAAAAGAAGAGAGAAGTTTGTACATGTTAGGGTTCTTCTGGGTGTGCAACCACGACGAACCTGTCATGACAAGTATGGACAGACATTTATGCTTGGAGAAAGTCCTATAATTTTCTCGATTTGCAGAGCTCGGGTGAGACACACAATTCTCACTGTTTGTCATGCAAAATGACTGGAATATATACCGGGGGTAGCTCGATTGGGTATGTGCCAGGATATATTTGAAGATGTGTTCTATTGCTACAAAGGCAACATATTTCGATAAACTTTGTAGGCTACAATTTTCCTTATTTATTTTTTTTGCCAATGCGGAAGTCCTTTCATGGAGTGGAATCACATGATTCCAGTAACGTGTCGCGTCATCGTGAAGCCTGTTAGAAGCGATTTGGATCATGTAAACACCGAACTAACACGCCACTGTTTTTATAATAATATTTTGTGATGGATTACTTCATCAGTCGTTTAGATAGATTTTCATGAACGATAGCTATGTGTTTTGTTACGCCATGCACAGAAGAAATCTGTCTGTGAGCAAGGCCTTCAAGTTAGCAAATCAGGTCTAGAGATTGCTGTTTTGCTAGCTGTCAAGCTAGTTAGCTAGCTAACGTTTCTGGCAAGGTTTGTAGCTTGTTAGCTAGCTATAACGTTGGCTGTGACTATGCAAGGGGAAACCGCCACGGCAATACGAATCTCGGACAGTGAAGGGAAACTGGATGTCTTTCTCCAGAAAGGGACGCCTGGTAGTTCTGGAAGAGGGAGTTCGAAAGGCTGGCAGTACAGGTATGCTGACTGTCTAGCTAGCTAGGCTAATTATGTGGCTTAGCCATATTTGGCTAACCAATCGTGCTAACCTAGTTAGCTAAGTTTGCTGCAGTGATTTGTTTGGCTAGTAGGCAGTGCACCACACATCTTCAGTTGGTAACTAGCAAGCCTTTGGTCAAATGTTAGCTGGCTAGCCAGCTATGGTTTCTAGCTTTTCTAGCTGAGCTTACTGACTTAGCTATTAGTTAGTTAACAGGCTAACCAGAGGAATCAGAGGTTCATCTGGAGTTGAATTTTGCCAACCCACTGCTGTTATTGTAGCATAACTAGCTTTTTTGCTAACTGTCAATCATTTTCTCAATCTCTGCTCTATTCAGTGACCACATGGAAAATATTGATGGTTACCTGATGAAATACACCAATTTGGTAACAGGATGGCAATATAGGTGAGTGGGCAGCCCTGGTTGAATAACATTGAACGGTGCTATGTGCATTTAGCAAAAGTATTTACAGTATAATCAAATCAACTAAACATACTATTGAATTGATTCACTGCTTTGTCAACAAGCATCTTGAGGTCAAGGGCGTTGGGCCAGTAACCAAAAGGTCACTGGTTCGAATCCCCGAGCCGACTAGGTGAAAAATCTGTCTATGCCCTTGAGCAAGGCACCTAACCCTATTTTTCTCCTGTAAGTCGCTCTGTATAAGAGCGTCTGCTAAATTACTCAAATGTAAATGTCAACGTTTTGATTGAACGTTCTGCCCTTCATGCAGGTTCTTTGTCCTCAACAATGAGGCGGGGTTGTTGGAGTACTTTGTCAATGAGCAGTCCAGGCCCCAGAAACCTCGCGGGACGCTCCCCTTGGCAGGGGCGGTCATATCCCCCAGCGACGAGGACTCTCACACCTTCACGGTCAATGCCATCAGTGGGGAACAATACAAGCTCAGAGGTAAAACACACACACTATTGTCTGTCTCTCACACTCACCAATCAAAACAGCTTCAACAACTCATACAAGAGTGTCATGCTGTTTGAGTAGTCTGGACATGTATGGTTTGCATTTCAGCACAATGTTATTATATCCTCAATGCATCAGTCAGTTGTTGGACAGGCAAGATACACATAGTCACTGTCAGACTGTTGTACCAAGACTTCAGGAATGGGAGAAAGCCGGTAAAACATATGCAAATCAATACGTGATAATGGAGGATTTCTCATTATCCTCGGTCGGAGAGGGATAATGTTGTCGTTATTGATCCATGCAGAGAGAGATTCACTCGGCTGCACAGTAATGAGCTCACTCGGTTCAGGCACCAAACGAAAGAAAACTGACTGAAACAGGGATGCACTAACTGAACATACCCAATAGGAAATTCTCGTTTGAATTTTCAGTTGCAAAACATTTTGCAACAGTGTGCACTAATGAATGTGACCCTGTTGTGTCTCCCAGCCACGGACGCCAAAGAGCGACAGCACTGGGTGAGCCGGCTGCAGATCTGCACGCAGCACCATACTGAGGCCATGGGGAAGGTAAGGGCAAGGGCTTTTCGTCTGACACTCACCCACTTTCGCAGACACTTGCGTGCAGACACACAGTTGCATGCACACGCAGACAGGCACACACACTCGACATCACACGCTCTTTCTCTAACTCTCTCTCACTCACAATGTTTTCCCTTGATCCAGACACTCTGCTAGCTCGTTTTGTTATGCAATCCCATTGATCGTGTCCATGGTTGCCTGTAACATGAGCTTAATAACAGAAGTGCAGAGGGGATGTCTTGTATTTAGATTAGATGTAGTAGTGTTTGTGCTTGATAATGATAACACATTGATGGGAACTCTAGCTACTATTCATTTAGCTTAGTTATGAGCCAAGACCATCCTAGATGCCAGCCTTTGAGTGTAGTATTGTAACACACGAAAGACACCCCTGCCTGCATCATAGCAGACAAACTGGGGTATGTGACACTTCCTTCTTTTTCTAAAGTTTGACCTTCCTTTCCTGGCTGAAGTCAGTGAGTCAGCATTACTCGGTGGGATTTCCTTCTTAACAGATGTACACTTTCTATTGAAATACTGAGAAGACAGAATGTGACAAACCACAAGCACGATGCAAACTATTCTTGGATAAATTGTGGCGTAACCATAACGACTCGATTCAGTACAGTTCACATTGGCCTTAATTCGTCTTGCATCTTGAGCACTTGAGTTGAAGACAATCAACATTTACAGAGCACATTGACATGACACCATAAGGTCACACAAATAGTCATAAACAAGATGGCTCCATAGGTTAAAATTCCCCTAGGTACAGATCAAGGATCCTCTTCCCCTCCCACAATCCTAACTCTAACTCATAGAGATAGCAGACTCATCATTGATATAACTCGTTTTAACATGGAAATGTCCATTGAGGGCTTCCACCATTTTAAAGTAGTCAACTGGGTGGGGATTCCTATAAGTTGGGAGCAATCAGCCAATGAAGAAGAAGGAGGAAATGGACTAAGCCTCATTGTCGCTGCCCATGCTGTCACAGACACTAGAATGGTACAGATACAAAGATGAGTCCTCTATCTCTATGCTGTAACCATTAGTAGAGGAAATGTTAAACTGACCCAATATCAGTGTCTAGGGGCAACTTTACATACATCCCACAAGCTCCAATGATGAAAATATACTTTTTCCCAAGATACTATCGCAGATGAGATGCACTGTATGACACATTTGTTGACCATCTTGTCTTTGTCCAGAGTAACCCTCCGCCCAAGTCTCGCAGTTACTCCATGGCGTCTCAGGGGAGCGCCAGCTCGCCCCTGTCCCAGCGAAGGCCCAGCCAGCTCCAGAACCAGAACGCCGCCTCCTCCTTCAGCATGACTCAGCTCCACAAGGGCTCCTCGCTGTACTCCTCCAAGAGGTCCCTGCTGCCAGACCATCTGCTCGACGCCAGAGAGGTAGGCTGGGGATAGGGACGGTAGCCATTTCCTCGTGAACCAAAATAGAAGTGGGGTTTAGCAAAGCTTAGTGTTGTTTTTTTTCCTCAGTGTTTTGATTTATTTTCATCTTACGTGTTTTTGTAATAACTTTGCATCTCGACAGGAATGACCGGTGGTAGAGAGAATAATATATCTTCTGCCTTATTTGAAATGTATTTTGTCTTAGAGGGTATTCTCTTCTTAGTCTTTTTACCCTTCTTACCCAGCTTTTTTGTTTAGTGTCATTTTATGAAGACCTTTCATCCATCTAGGACTAGGTTACAGGGACTTCTTGTTTTAATCTAATGACGGATATAGCAAGCACATTTTTACATCGGTATCATGGGACCCCTGTAGCTCAGTTGGTAGAGCATGCCGCTTGCAACGCCAGGGTTGTGGGTTCGTTTCCCACGGAGGGCCAGTATGAAAATGTATGCACTCACTTAACTGTAAGTCGCTCTGGATGAGAGCGTCCGCTAAATGACTAAAATGTAAATGTATCAACTTACTCCTCCGGTTCCTTCCGCTCTTCTTCCTCCCAGATGATGACCCAGGCCCAGGGCCAGCACCGAGACCTGATCCATATCATCGAGGGCCTGCCCCCGGCCACGGGCCCCCTCTCCCCACTGGACCAGGACCTGCTTATGCTCAAGGCCACCTCCATGGCCACCATGAACTGCCTCAACGACTGCCTGCACATCCTGCAGCTGCAGCAGGTGGCCCGCCAGGGGAGCTCTCTGGGAGGTGAGGGTGACCGCTGGGGTCGGAGGGGGAGTAGGTCCTTACTGGTACTAGTAATGAGTGTTCATTTATGAACTCCAATGAAAAGAAGGGGATCTGTGTGCATGCACTGTTAGTTTTCTCAGTGGGTAGATCTCTATTGCCAGGCTTTCTCAGATTTGCCTTCTAGATGATGTTTAATTTAACACTGAAGAGAGCAAGGTAGAAACTGTTAAGTTACCTTCTCTTTGACCCATTTCTTAAAGTTAGCCATGGAAGTCTACATGGATTAAAAGTGTTTTGTTTCCAAGAATGACTTTAGTCATGTTTAGTTGTCTGCGACATGTACTAGACACACATCATGTGCTTGCACAATTCTACCTCACAAATCATGGAACTGCACATGTAGACCCGCCCAGTCCAGATGTACTCCGAAAGCCGACGGTGGAATTATTTTCCATAATTGATGAGGGAGCGGTACTTATTCTTATCGGCTGTCTAGGGTGGTAACCAGATCTCTCATTGGGTAACTGAGTAATAACAGCTTTCCCAATTAACCAACTTTCTTCCTTTTTGATCACGCAGCACCATACTGACAGCCAAGAGACCTTACCAAAAATGTATGGCTGCTACTATCTCAGCCATTTCTTTTGACAGAGCCAACTAGACATTGTGGAATAGGGAATAGGGGAATAGGGAAAAGCCGTCACAAGTTACCGGTTTGACGTAGGAGATCGTAAGAGATCTTGTTACCTGGCATCCATATTTCATTAGGCCCACAAACAGGACGGAACCCGGGGATGAGCCAATCAGGAAAAGGTGTCAAGGATTGTGTGGGCCGTGCTAATTTGAAAGGGCCTCGCCTCCCACCCAAACACCCATAGAAATACCCTATGTGGCGCTAATGCTAACCCACCAATCAGGCGGTGCGGACATTTCCTGTTGGCGCGGCATAAAACGTATCTCGATACTCAACGGGGATCGGGTTAACGTCTCCATCCTGTGGTCCTGGAGAACTGTCAGGGGAATACGCCAGCCAGCCACCCCATCCAGCCAGCCTGGGTCTTTTTTTGAATGGTTGCTGGCTACAACCTCATTGTTTTGGTTGGGTAGTCTGGTAGTCTCAAGGGGTCTCGTAGCGTAGCCTAGCATGAGTACCTCTGAGCTAAAGACCGCGGTGGCCGCCGCTGTGTCGCGTGTTACAGGACCTACCATTGAGTGGCTGGAGCCCAAGCTGCCGGACATCCTGAAGAACGGCGGGCCCTTGGACAGCTTCAGCACCGGGGGAGAGGGAGGGCCGCTGGAGGGCAGCCTCCTGGAGCTGAGTGCCACGGAGCCCTGCAGTTTCTCTGGGGTAAGGACACAGAACATTAATAGTCCCAAAAGGGCTTTTCACAGCCAAACTCTATCAATCTCTGAGCAGGAGTGCTGATCTAGGATAATCCATTTAGATCATAATGAATAGGACTATAAGGCAAAACAGATTCTAAATCACTACTCATACTCATAAGACTTTCTGAATAAAGGCCCTGGCCTGGTTACGCATCCAGCATAGTTACTGGAGCTGTGCTGGAAAGGGCGACATGAAAATAAAGTATTTGAAAAGTGATATAGGCGTATCTCTTTGGACAGGACAATTTGACTTCAGTACTTTTTTTTATTTAATAATTAAATAAATAGCAATGTTTCCAATGATCAATTTGTCTAACAATGTGTCCATGGTCAGATGGGGAGGATGGTCAAATAAATATAACTAAATAAAGGCCTTTTATTTTGGCTTTTTGTTGTAGGTGCTTCAGTTTGACTGTTTTTCAAGACGCAAGCCACAACTTTTGTTCTCAAAGTAAATATTGTATCTCCTGCCAGGAGGAGATTGACGGAGAGGACGAGGTGGAGGACGCGTTCACGGAAAAGGAGGAGGAACTGGGGGCGGTGGAGGAGGAGCGCAGTGTCATCCTACACCTGCTCTCGCAGCTCAAGCTGGGCATGGACCTCACGCGGGTAGGTCGAGTTCCCCCCCCCCCCCCCCCCCCCCCCCCCCGGCCGTGGCCTGGACACAGCCTGAAACATACATCGGGCTGGACCAAGGCCCAGATAGACAGACCATAGTGGTGTCTTGTTTTCCTTCCTCTGATTGGCTAATGTAAAGGACTGCGTACTGGAGTTAAGAAATGCCTATCGTTTTGCTTTTCTTGTTGACTTCATAGTAGAGCTGGGTGATATGGACTGAAATCCATATCGCGATAAATTGCCTTAAATTGCGATAACAATAAATAGAACGATACGTTTTAAAGTTAATGTGCACCAGTCTTTTATATGTATTATCCTTTAAACTAATACTACTAGTTTGATGGTTTTAGCCATCAATTGTCCCATTAACAATCACCCATATTAGCAAACTTATTTCATTTCAAACTTCACATTTCTCTAGTATAGGCTACAAAACGGCTGCAATAAGTGATCGGTATGGTCGGTGTCGATCATTTTCCGTTGTCGTCCCAGCTCTAATTTCAGTTTCCCATGGTTAGCAGCAGTCTGCAAGTGTAGGCTCAAAGCCAGATGGGTGTCGGATGGTAGTTGGTCAGTTAATCAATTCATGAAAAGAGAATGTGTTCTCAATAACCTCAAATTGCAATTCAAGCTTTGTTTGAATGATGTTTACCTCATAGCTACATGTCATTATAGACCACACACTAGGTTATTGAATGGTTCTCAATAACCCACCTACTTCAATAAAGATCATAAATAGTTCTGTCTCCTCAGGTGGTGCTACCCACCTTCATCCTGGAGAAGCGCTCCTTACTAGAGATGTACGCTGACTTCATGTCCCACCCGGACCTGTTCGTATCCATCACAGACGGCCAAGGGCCCGAGGAGCGCATGGTGCGCTTCGTCGAGTACTACCTCACCTCCTTCCACGAGGGCCGCAAGGGCGCCATCGCCAAGAAGCCCTACAACCCCATAATCGGCGAGAGCTTCCACTGCTCCTGGAGGGTGCCCAGGTCAGGGGAACCTGCTAAGGATGCCCCCTCGCCCCCCTCTCCTCCCCAGGGAAGCCCCACGACCGAGGAGGAGGACGGCAGTTACGAGTTGCGCTTCGTGGCTGAGCAGGTGTCCCACCACCCGCCCGTGTCAGGCTTCTACGCCGAGTGCCCCGAGAGGCGGATGTGCGTCAACACCCACGTGTGGACCAAGAGCAAGTTCATGGGCATGTCCATCGGGGTGTCCATGATCGGGGAAGGTAAGGCCGGCCAGAGACAGGGTATCGATTTATTGCACCATCTGTGTGACACGGTGCATGCTAGCGCCAGAGCGGTTTGAAATCGAGAGACTCGGCTAGGGATTAGGCCTACTTCCTTCAGACCAATGTCAAAGGGAGAGTGGACATTTCTTCCATACTAGTTACTGACAGGAAGTACTTATTGTTGAGTCTTTCGACTTCAAACCTCCTGCTAAAAGTGGTCTGTAAGATGCATCTGTCTAATGCTAACAATATAAAGTATAAACCATATTGTAATCTGTGTGTGTAGGCTGTCTGTACCTGCTGGAGCATGACGAGGAGTACACGTTCACGCTGCCCTGTGCCTACGCCCGCTCCATCCTTACCGTGCCCTGGGTGGAGCTGGGGGGAAAGGTCAATGTGAACTGCACCAAGTCGGGATACTCCGCAGTCATCACCTTCCAGACCAAGCCCTTCTACGGAGGCAAACTGCACAAGTGAGTGCCCCTCACAGAGCGCACACACACACCTGCAGAGGAATTTCTAATGCTGTCATTAAATTGTTGCATTGGCTTTTGGTTAGGTTTATGTCCCTGTGCGGTTACATCATATAGTTATTTCCATGTTGTTTTTAGATTTAAAAATGATTTTTGTGGATTATCCCGGCTAAAGAAAGATTCATTGAAATGTAGTTAATAAACAAGTATTTGAATAATTTATAAAAGCCACAACTCTTTGGATTGAAGTGACCTCAAATAGTTTTGCATAGTTTGCGTGGAGAGGCTGTGATTGGTTGATATCGTTGACCATGTGTCCTGTTCTCCTGGCGCCTCACGCAGAGTGACGGCGGAGGTAAAGCACAACGCTACCAACGTTGTGGTGTGCCGCGTGCAGGGCGAGTGGAACGGCGTGCTCGAGTTCAGCTACCAGAACGGCGACACGCGCATGGTGGACGTCACCAAGCTGCCCGTCACTAAGAAGCGGGTGCGCCCCAACGACAAGCAAGCACCAACCGAATCGAGGTTAGACAAAAAAGTTGAAATATGAATATGCTCCGATGTATTTTCTATGCTTTCCGGTGAGGTTGTGGCATAAATAAGGACTGTAGATGAAAATAATGTGTTTAGTTAATTCTGGTGCTGTTACACCTCTGTATTGTTGACTATATTGTGCATTGTCTCAGTAATAGACATGATACACTAGATAACTGTGTTTTAGGCGCCTGTGGCAGCACGTGACTGAGTCGCTGCGTCAGAAGGACATTGAGAAGGCCACGGAGCACAAGAGGATCCTGGAGGAGAGACAGAGAACTGAGGAGAGACACCGCACTGAGACAGAGACCCCATGGAGGACCAGATATTTTGAGAGCGAGGTACGTAGAACATCATCTTGACAAACCCTTTTCATATTTAGTGTGCTTGCTTCAGCAAGACCTGGAGAGCCTGGGTCAGACATGCTTTTGGACAGCTGAAGCAAGCACACCCATTTTCTTCAGGAAACGTTCTAGTATTATTGTGTTTCGTTAAGCGGTCAGGCATTTTGACACCCAATTTTGCTGGAAAAATGCAAGGATAATGGACGCATCTCATGAGGCATTTACAGTTTATATTCTTCAGGAATCAATGGATTTTGATATGAATATTAATAATGGATTCTCTTCTGTCAGACATTTTAATCTCACAGATTGTACATATTCTTTTTTTGTAATGTTTTCTATGGTCTTCTCTCTATGCTAGGGCGAAGGCTGGATGTATCACAAACCACTGTGGAAAACACCCGCTTTGAAATCTTAATCCTACCGGTCAGTGAGAACCCATCGAGAACTGGTGTAGCCACGAGACTGACGCTCTCTTTTGGTTTGTGTGTGTGTGCGCGAGTGTGGGGTTATTTCCTAAACGGTCGAGGTAAAGCGCGTCCTCCACTTACATGCATACGGATGCAAAAGTATTGGGGAAGCCCTATAACGTGACGACAGGCTATATAGTTTCATCTCACACTCGATGTACAGCTCACACCTCAAGGTAGTAGGTACAGGCTTTTGTACTGATGGTCACTTTTTGTATAATCCACTCTGAATGAGGACATATTTCTTGTACAGATAAAAGGTACTCTATTTACGCCGCCTTAACAATCGTATGATGACGCGCTCTTTTGGGTTGTGTTTAAAAGTGTTGAAGAATCAGGATTCAGCAGAGGGAGTTTTGTTTTACAGTGACGTCGCACATGAGATTGTGAATCTAAATGCATCGTTCAAAGTACACGACCGTTGGCGTTCGACGGTGTGAACTGGATAGCCATACTCTGGGAGATGATTGGCAAGGCCTGGGTCATGTTCATTAGGGCATGCGACAGAATGTTTTAAAAACGCATTTCAACGGAAAATGAGTTATTGGACAAGTACATACAGTCCCGTTTGGTGCTTAATGAACATGACCCTGCACATATTATCATGTCACAGCTTGGATAAGACACACACACAACCTGTCACTACATTGAACAAGTTTATAATTGGGACAATGTTCCTGAATTCATACTGTAGGAAATGAATGACATTACTCCTTTTGGATTTGCACAGACATCTCCGTTTGGATGATTCCATCGTTTAGAATGATTGACAAGGCTAGTTTGGCATGATACAGATAGTATTTTAATGATTAGCCCCCCCCCAAAGTGAATGCATTTATTTATGAGATGTATGATAAAGTAACAATCATTCCTTTCGCAGTCCCAAAGGGATATAGTCCTTGCTTGCTTGAGGAATTTTGGAAAATGGAACGCATGATGAGTAATGTATTTTTTTTTAATCTACTGCAAGTATTATTATACTCTTACTATGTCTGAATTCCACAATTTGTTAATGTTTTATTATTAAAGCTTTTAACCAAATTAATTTGTTTTCATATGCAAACAAATGTTTTACTTATTTTTCTGGTTAAGAATGTTAATCTCCTGGATATCTCAATCTGTCTGTTCTGATTTTGAGCGCAGAATATAACTTAATACCTTCACTTCATTTGTTGATTTTGAATGAGATTACTCGCTCATGTTTCCTTTCAAAAGCTACGGTTCTCAAATTCTCATTCACCCCCCAAATGTATGTGAAATACACAGCAGAGGTTGAGTCTCATCCACACCAATGCAGTCAATATCAGCCTGGAAAGGTTCCCCACCCCCTTTTGATAGGTAGAATGTGGAGAGAAGACCTGTTTGAAGCATGGGATGTGATTCTAACTCTGTATTGATAAGCTATTCTCCATGTCATGGTGCCTTAAGCAATCTCTTCCTGTGTGGGTCTTCCATTCCAAGAGTATAGCATACCTCCCAGGGCCGGACTACCGCATTTCAACACATTTTGCCATGGTCCAGAGAAAAATTTGCAGTTTCATACTGCTATTCTACACATTTTGCCATTTTAAAGCTAATTTTCTGGCAATTCTACACATTATGCTATCTGGGGGCCCCCGACCTCCAAGGGGAGGCCCCCAACCCCTTCAGGTCAGGGACCCCGGGGCACATGCCCTGCGTGCCGTTCGGTAATCCAGCCCTGTTTGTTTCCCCTGTCACTGCTATGAATTATGCAATAGCAGAAAGTGTATGTAAATATTGATCGTTTTGGGGTATTTGTTGCATTCTTTCCTGTTTTGAAGAAAGACTAAGCTTAGTAACACAGACCCCTGAATGGTGTTACACGTGTTGACTTAGTTGTTGAATTACTCATTTGTCTTGCTGACCTGTGAAATGCACTGACGTTGAAGGAAACATGACTCCTTGTAGACTAAGATGTGTGGTAATGAATGATTAAATAAATTGCCTATCAATTGTGTATCGTGTTTCAACTATTTTTTGCAAAAAATAACTGGTCATACAAGAGTAATATTTGGTAACCCAATAGTTTCCTTATCGACCGTGTTTTACTTACATCATGAAACTGCTCAATATTCTAAAGTGGAGTCCTTGCCGACAATGGGTGTGTAGTGAGCCACACAACCAATACAGAGAAGCTAACTTTCTTTCTCTACATTTTTATGTTTGCCTAACATGGCTAACAGTTTAGGTTAGGTTGGGCATGAGTTCTAATCCCTCTTTAATATTCCTTATGAAAAGAACCACACGTTCAAATACCTTTGTTGTAAATCGTAGAATGAACCACAGCTAGTGTGGGGAGAAGAGATGTGAATGTGTTTATTGATACAGGACAGATTTCAAGAAACTTTGATAAGAGCCCACTTGTGCAATGATTGTCTGGCGGTGTTCACATTGAAGGTTATACAAGATAACGTAATCAAGTTCAACTATAAACGATATTGGTAGTCTTACAAACAGCCAGTCATATCTTAATCACCCAAGAACTGTCGTCTCCACTCACAGGTGGAAGTTACAAAATGTGCCTCAATCTTGTTTGATGCCCTTCCCCCACACAGGGCACAGTCATGTTTCTGTGCATTTTTTCCACGTGTCCTCTTAGGCTTTGCTTTGTTGCAATCATTTGATGTATGTGTTTTTTTTTCTCAGTGTGTATTCTCTGACTATTCAATGTACTTCTGGCACTAAAGCATTTTACAGACACGTGTAAGATTTATCCTGTGAATTTCCATATGCAATGTCAAATAACAGACAATTGTGAAAAAAGTGCAACAGTCATGGTAGAATGTGGTTTCTCCTCATATGCCAATTCAGATTGGAACAATTAGTGAAACATTTACAACAATCCTGACAGCAAAACTGTTTCTCTCTCATTTGATTATCCTCATATGCACTCTCGTGACCGCCAGTGCTCAAAGATCTGTTACTAAAGCGACAATATGATTTCCCTAGTGTGAATTCTCATATGCATAGTCAGATTATGGCCATGCCGAAAATATTTGCCACAATAATGACAGCGATAAGGCTTCTCCCCTTTGTGAATCCTAATCTGAGAACTCGGATTACCACTATGAGCAAAACATTTTCCACAGACCTGGCAGCAATATTATTTATCCACTGTGTGAATTTTCAGACCCGCGCCAAAATGAAAACATTTGCCACAATCATTACAGCCAATTATGTTCTCCCCTGTGTGGATCCTTGTGATAATTCAGATACCCAACTTCAGAAAAACATTTGCCACATTCACCACAGTGATGCGGTTTCTCTCCTGTGTGAGTCTTCCTATGCAATTTGAAGTGGTCAAGCCGGGTGAATACTTTGCCACAGTCTTGACAATGAATGTTTCTCTCCTGTGTGAATCTTGCTATGACACTTCAGATTCCATGCTCCAGCAAAACTTTGTCACAATCCTGACAGTGATATGATTTCTCCCGTGTGGGTCCTTATATGAGAATCCAGATGTACCCACTGAGGAAAACATTTGCCACATTCATCACAGTGATACGGTTCTGTCCCCGAGTGTATCATGCCTATGAGAAACCAGTTTTCCCATATGAGTGAAACGTTCACTACAGCAAATGGTTTCTCCTTTGTGTGAATCCTCATGTGCAAATTCAGATTGCCACAATCCTGACAGTGATGAGATTTATCTTCTGTGTGAATCCTCCTTTGCACTGGTGATTTTTTCCTGGTGATAAATAAGCTTTTTCTGTGTCTGCGTCCTCTTTGATTTGCGCAGGGGCTGAGAGTCTCTGAGGAATCATCTTCCTTAGGTTCTGTTTTGATCTGTTCAGTAGAGGACATTCTGTCTTTGAATTCTTCACTTTGGGTTTGTGAGGACTGAGTTGGGTACTGATCATAGTCACTTTTCACCCAGGCAGGAGTGAATACAGAGTCTTCCTCCTCCTGGATGATCCTGAAATCCTCCTGTTCCTCTTTAATCTGTATGATGTTCCAGTCATCTTGTTCCAGACTGGTGCTCCACTCCTGCTTACAGTGTTGCTGCTCAAGGGAAAACTCCTCTTCAGAGACAATGAACTGCTGAAAATCTGAAGGGAAGGAGAAAGGGATATTAGTGTGCTAGCCAATGTACAATGTCCTTCCAAATGATAGTGGGACTCTCAGACAGGTGAACAGCGACCACTAACGGCTGTTCAGGCTACGAATTCTGCAGAGGCGGGTTGCTAATGGCCCAGTGGAGCTTGCTAGTTGGGTAGGCATTAGGGCTGGGAATTGTCAGGTACCTCACGATATGATACTTAGGTGCCGATATGTACTGTGATTCAAACGATTCTATGTTGATTGCGATTCGATGTTCCAAACATATTGCTCTCTATACTGTAGACGAGAGAGCATATGAAAATGAGTTTTGATCAGTCATGGAAATAAGTGCTGAAAACATGTTAGCTCAATATTTAAAAAGAAGATGGAGAACAAGCTATAGGATGAAAAACTCCAGAGTTTTGGTACAGGTACAGCCGACTAGCGCTAGCTAACAAAACAAAAAGAATATCGGAATATGTAAGTAATGGACATTAGTATTCGATAGGGCTGAAATTGAGCAACAATGTTCCTGCACTGCGGGGTATGTCTCACAATAATTTAAAAAGCAAGTGCATACTATACTGTGTACAACATCAGCTGTAGCTAGCTGTTATGCTAACGTTAACAACCAAATGACTTTAACAAACATACCGTTCTATGCTAGCTCCACAGGTTACTGCTCTTATGTGGCTGGGCTAATCCATACCCTGGACCTTTGGAGAGCCCAAGATGAAGTGACCAGACAAACAAATATTTACAGGTTGTCATTACCTCTGTCAAAAAGCTTATGGTACCTACGCTCTCAAACCTAATCATGATTACTGCTACCAAATTATGGACTGCTTTTTTTTTGCATTTCCTGCCGGCCCTGCGCAGATAAGAT